TTACAAACGATCAAAGTGACTTATTGTCCCTCATTCTGTGGAATGTAAATTCTTACTGTACACAATCCAATTTCCACTTCTAAATAAAGGAAAGAATACAGAGATGAAAAGATTTCCTAAAAAGCTCCATATAAAAACATGATAGTTGAATTTAGTGCGTGTACCTGGTTTGAATGATTCCCAGGATGAGGAATATGGTAGGAAATGATGTTAAAAATAACCACTACTTTCAAAATTTGATTTATCATTTAACCTAGAGAACAAAAGGTGAGACTAAATCACATATTTTAATATCAGTACATACTGAAAGAAGACTTGCAACTGCTATGAATTACTAAACTCTAATCCTAAATTCAATGAGGTTTACAAAACAATTAGCTTAATGGAAACTAGAAGTTATTATGCCCTACTTTAAGAAGCACCTGCATATTCTGAAAAACATAATGAATTTCAGTTGAACTGAAACCCGACTCCTTTAATCTCTGAAGCTGTGCTTGCCCAATTCATTCTTCAAAGTTATATTCAACATCTGGTCAACAGTGTCACTGAACACAACAGTAATCTAAATTATTCCTTTTCATTTTATGTTCGGGGGCGGGGGGTCGTTGCTGCTATTTTTCCTTCACTTAGTTATAGGATATTAAGCTAATTCATGCTTTTGTCTTAGTTTTTAAAAGACTTACTAGTATATACCAAAATCTAGGCAACAGAGACCCCTTTATCCTAATTTAAAGTAACTAAGAGGTTGCACACTACAATAGCAAATTTGTAATCAACTTAAAGATGATGCCTTAAAAACACAATTAAACATGTCATAACAGAAGAAAACCCTGGTGATTACAAACAGTACCATGCTTGCTGGCTGGGGTTTTAAACAGAGGTTATAGACTAAGAAAAATCGCCACCCAGTGATGCAAATGAAAACTGCAATTTGTTTTTCTGTAAAATGAGTACCCTGAGGATTACTTCAACTTCATTACTGAATGAATGAACAGCCTTTACCTTCTTCTGTGAACAGGAGCTGGTTCCATGGGAAAGGATGTTTTTCTACAAGGCCGTTTTTTTGTTTTTTTTTTAAACACTCCCCTCTCCCCCATTCTTATTTAGCTCACTTGACATTTTACAAAGGTTAAGGCTTTGAAAATCTCAACAGAGAAGTGTTCCATCCCAAAGTGATCTAAATGTATATGAACAGCCCAGGTATTCCTATTACAAACAAAAGGGCCGAGGCTCTGCTTGACTCTGAATTTAGCAACTCGGCAACGCCACCTAGTAACTGCGGCCTGAGACCTATTTGCGTTAGGCAGGAAGGCTTGCCTAAGGGGAAGGTATTCTCAGGTGGGAAAAACAGATAATTTATTCTTTTAACAACATAGTATACTCTGTCCTTGTTAGAAACAGGTTATAAAGGCCACATAAAATGATAATCTAAAGAATTCTGTGGACTACATATTGATAAGAAGTTGTTGCCATAATATGATCATGTTTCTAAGCCTTCAGTTCATTGCCTCCTTTAGAAATTAAGAAGCACACAAAGGCAATCATATACATTTATTTGACTGCAATGTTATCTATTGCCACAAGAACAACAAAAAAGTTATGTTAACACATGATAACCAAAATGCACATGTGTAAGTATGGGGCCATGTTAATAATAGCATTTCATATCTAGTATTTGTCCTATTTGACATTTTCAAAAATATTTTCCATAGCACTGAGACTACAGCAGATATATATGTCAGCATAGAACCATGTGATAAAAAGAGCAACTCAGCAGAACAAATCCTTTAAAAAAAAAAAAAAAAGACATTAGCATTCTATTTTTAAAGACAATGAACTATATTCCTAATAATCTATCCTGACTCTTATCAGTCAATTCAGTTAAGTCAAAGGATTCTTTCTGTACTAACTAAACAATGTATACCATATTCCAATCTCAACCTCACTAAGGATATTACAGATTTCTGCAATATTTTTATATACTTAAAGTATCAAATAGTAAAAATTGGGAGTAACAGAAATTAAAGCCACACTTTATGAACAATAATATAACACCCTCCTTTATTAAAATACAATGAAAAAAATCAGTACTTTCTCTTTTAAACAACAACAAAAATTTTCTTTTTTTAATCTTAAATGTCAATAATGTTTTAAAATTAAAAATGATAATATGACATTTTTAAAAATGGATAGCTTAAGTGTTTAGGTGGGCAGGAGGTAGGCTCTGAAGTCAGACTGCCTGGCAAATTCCAGATCTGCTATGTATTAGCTGGAGGAACTTGAAAAACCTAAGTCCTCACCTGTATATGGAGAGAGAATACCACCACTTCACTTTCTAAGCAATTTACACACATTAACTCATTGAATCCCGCCCACCAACCCTATGGAGTGGGTACTGTATCCATGTTCATTCTCTAGATAAGATAAATGACACCAGGAGGTTACATAACTTGACCAAAATGGTAAAGGGTTGCAGATACGCCACCCCAAAAATGTGCCACTTTGGCATAAGGATAATTTTGAACTGAAAGCAAGAGATAAAACCCCCATATGAAAGAGGCCAGGAAGAAGGAGACATTCTTATCACCAGAGATGGAGAGTCGAGGCCAAGAGAACTGCACAGACAGAACTTGTTAAAGTGACTCCTATCTTCCACTAGTCTCCCCACATATTTTAGTCACTTTTCCTCAACCTGGTATATAAGCACTTGGGTTTTTCCACTTCTTTTGGTCTTCATTCCTTTATGAGGACTGCCATGGACAAGTAAACATCTTGAAAACAAAATGCTTTTCTCCTACTAACTTTCTTATGTCTACTCAATTCTCTATACACTAAATGTACCTCCTTTAAATACCTATTAGATAACAAAAGGAATAATACTGATTTCTAACCGTGAAACACAGGAAAAAGCAAGCCTCTGTTAAGACGACAGAGGTGTTCTAAAATCAAGAATACAGACTAGAGTTTGGAAAAATCAGGCTTTGTGGAAGCAAATGTCTGAGAGGAATTTATTGTGAAACTTTTGAAAAAGCAGAAACTTGACAGAAGACCCAAGACATGGCTGCAGTTTTTCTGTGAGCGCAGCTAATACATTTCATGAAAGGGAAGCAACACTGGCCGCTTTCAAGGAACGGAAACAAAATAGATCCAGAGACACAGAAGCATTGAACAGACCTTCGAATCTCAGAGAGGAGGTGGGGGCGTGTGGGTGGGTGGGAAGAGATCAACCAAAGAACTTGCATGCATCTAGCATAACCCATGGACACATACAATAGGGTGGTAAAGGCCTGGGGGGGGGGGGGGGGGGAGACGGACTATAAGGGATCCATGGAGGGCGGGGGAGGGATAGGGAGACATATGTAACACTCCCAACAATAAAGATTTAAATTTTTTTTTTTAAAGGAACTTGGGGTTGACAGAGCCACTTCTGACTTTGAGGCTCTCATTTCTGACATGCTGAGAAAGGCCTGCTAAGCAGCCGTGTCTGCAGCACCCCACTGTACCCCAGTCAGAAGGCTCCTCAGAAAAATCACTGGCCCTGGTCAGACTGCGCCCCACTATTTTACCTCCCGTGTAGGGGATCTGGTGGGAGAAAAAAACAACTCTGAGCGCCCCAACCATGGCCCCTATCCAGGCCACAGAAGCAGAGTCCAAAAAACATAGACCTGCCAGAACCAGACTGAGGAAGATGGCGGTATCTAAGGTAACATTTAGTTGGAGAAAATCTATTCTGATCTCCCAGAGATTCAGGTCACAAACTGGAAGAGGCCAGAGAGAGGAAACCTCTGTGTCCTGTCTGCAAGAAACCAGATCCTACAGTCAAAAACTGAAGAGGCAGAGAGCCACCCCCTATACCTGTGAATGTGCGGGGTTGGAGGCATGGCAGGGGCCTGGCTGCCACAGGGTCTAAGCTGAAAATTCAGGATTACCCTTGACTCCTGCCGATGCCCAGGACCCTAGTCAAACTGGGCCAGGATGAAGGGAAACCAGACTCTGGAAGGGAAGACACCTGAGGAACATCCCAGAGAGTAAACCCACTCTGAGTTCATGCAAATCATCTCAGAGAGCAGCCCGGATCTGGTGGGAGGAAGTCCAGGGTGGGAGAGGCTGTGTGCCTCCAGGGTGAAACCTCACCAGAATCCACATCTCCTCCCTAGGGGAAAGACACCATTACATGAAGAAAGGGTTTGTGTGCTTTTATTTTTGTTGTTGTTGTTTTAGTATATTTTATTGATTTTTTACAGAGAGGAAGAGAGGGACAGAGAGTTAGAAACATCAATGAGAAAGAATCATCAATCAGCTGCCTCTTGCACACCCCCCATTGGGGATGTGCCTGCAACCAATGTACATGCCCCTGACCGGAATCAAACCTAGGACCCTTCAGTCCGCAGGCCAATACTCTATCCACTAAGCCAAACCAGTTTCGGCAAGGTTTGTGTGTTTTTTACAGAATTCCCCATGGGAAAAGCATAGCATCTGGTTGAAAGAAATATTTTCTAAAATCACTTAAATCCTAACAAGTAATAGTAATAATTTTATAATAGGAGAGAAACTAAGTTTAAATATTTAGGAAAACTAATTAATATTTGACTGAGAAGTGTATTGCCTTCAGCAAATATTTCTATTTCAGATGCCTAATGTAATTTAAAATGCTAATTTAAGAAGCAAGGCTTGCTACTCATAAATCAGAACTTGAAATTATCAAGGAATCTTTAAGAATTTTGGTTTTTCACAACTAAAGAGGTTGTCTAGTATATTTAAAAAAAAAAGGATAATTTTATAAATTGGATTTGCAGGACACAACCAAAGCAATAAATAAGAAGAGTATAACTTGATGACAGCATTCGAAGTGATTAATGAACTTTATAGATTTAACATAAATTAATTCTCGAATTACTAGGAAATAATTTTTAAAAATCAATCTTATAATATTCAAGTAATTTTTTAAAAAGGAAAAATAATTTATGTAGTTGTGATTTCATTTCTTAACGGAAACTCACCTAAAAGGACAAAGCCATCTGCTTCCGTGTCTGACACTGAGGGCTTTTTCGGTTCCACGGGCTTCCTGAAGAAGTGAAACATCGCTGCGGCCTGGGTCTGAAACAGAAACACTATATATTATAATGTCCAACTCAAAGGAAACTGTAAAACTCCTACCCACTCTCGCAGCAAGCCAAATATAGAGATATCCCAATAACTACTTTTTAGGAGTTCTATTACCAGACTTGAAAGCACGAGCCCTCCTATCCAGGTGTCAGAAGACAAAGCTGGAAATTAAGGTGCATGGACTTCCAGGCTCAAGTGAATCCTGTAAACTTCTCTCAGTTTTTGAAAGTGCAGGAAATAATCCAAGAAATCACTCCCGGGAAAACTAAAATCAACAGAGAGCACCACAACATGGAAGGATCTCACTGAACATAAACATCAATCATACACTTGATTGAGGAAAGGAACAACAGAATAAACCAAAAGAACCTGTAATGTCATGTCATAACTAGCTTAAGGCTCATAGAACTGAGGCAGCCTGTGAAAAAAGAAGGCATGTCAAACACCCCTCCAGTTGGTTATCTGATTCAGACCCTCAAGAGCTGTAGCCACTGTATCACTGAAGCCAACTTCAAGTTCCCATCAGGGCAGATCTTTGTGTTGGAGAGATTATTAAACCACACACACACACACACACACACACACACACACACACACACACATGCACACACCCCTCATCTTCAACTTCCCATTTTTGCACATTCAAAAAGGCCAACAATTCCTAGAAAACAACTGGGAAGGAAGTTTAAGGAAATTTGCGAGGACACATTACCCTGGAGGACAGCCCCTATAAACAAAGCTGTATAACAGATAATAAAGAAAGGAATAATCCTGGTGGCAGCAAATGCTCCACATTTTTGTTTCCATATTTTCCACCCAAACCAGAAGATCAAGCAGGGAGGGTTAGGAAAGATTTGATCTCAGAAAAAGCCTTCTAGAAACTGAGATTTGAACTGGGGTTTGTGCAGGTCAACCCGCCCTGGGCTGCAGATCCAATTGGATGATAAAGGAGCCCATTTGCTGTTAGAAAATACATCTGGCAGATTTCACTTTTTAAAGGGATAAAAAATGGAGGATAAAAAAGCGCAAACCATGTGAAAAAAGAAAATGTTCCAGTAGAGGGAAGGAACAGCATCTGAAATCCTCAAAGATTTCTGCCTGGATATAGTGATAGATCCAAAAGAAAAGTCTGGAAATGGTTTGCACCCTCAACAGAGCACAGGGGACATGGCCTCTGTGAGACTGGTGGAAAACAGGATTAGATGAAAAAGCAAAAGGAAAAGACAAGAAATCGAATAAAAAATAAAAAATAAAACATAACTGAGTAAGATCAGAGAAACCCATGCAAGAAAGAAATGATATAAAAAAATAATTGGTGACTTATAACAGGAATATAGAAAATAGAGTTCAAGTTCAGACTTAACAGAATAGGAGAGGCAAGTAACATCTCGACCCCAAACGGTTAAAAATAAAAGGAAGAAGACCTTTGTAGGGACAAAAGCTGATTAAAACTCAACTTGGGCTAAGGATTAAATCAAGGGTTCGGCCACTGGACATGAAAGCGCCTGTGCAGATTACTGTGGCTCTCAGTACATTCCTTCACTGAGGAAGCCTGGTTCAGGAAAAAGATAAAGGGGGTGGTCTCCAAGGAAAAGCCCGTGGAGGTTCATAGAGGAGTAAAAAAAAGATGAGAAAAAGAGAAAAATCTAAGTTCTATCTAGCCACAATTGTATAATAGATCTGGCTACTGATACATGAGGCTGACTAAAATCAGAAAAGGAGTGACATGTTTGAGGATTGTGATGCCAAAATGACCAGCCGCCTGGATTGAAAGAGGACCACGACCCTACAGACCGAGGAAGCTGTCCCCAAGGAAGGCCTATTCTCCCGTGCCAACCTCAGGGTAGCCAAGAAGTTACCAGAAAAGGAAGAAACTCTCAGAGGGAGGAGCCAATGGCCATGGAGAACAACAGACTGGGGACTGGGGGCTCCTCCAGGAAGCAGAAACTGGGCGTAATTAGTGAACATTCTCCAAACCAAAGTGGGGTGCCCCAAAATGCCTGCTCAGTGGGATTCCAGAATTGCTGCCACTCTGGGTCTGCTATATACAGAGTGTCCCCGCAAAATATATCCAAACACACTTTAACACTGATAGATCAGTTTTGAAAATGCAATGTATTTTAATAAAGGCTGCCTTTCGAATTACTCAAAGTGTGTGAATACACTTGGGGACACTCTGTATTTCCCATCCCTCCCCTTTGTAAACGGGAGTCATCTTTCCCAGTTCCACAAGGTGGGAGGGAACATGAGGGGTAGAACCCTGGTCTTTTTAGTTCACGAAGTCTCCAGACCAAGAAGTGCCACTTCTGGACCTGGTGACGAAATCCTGGACGGGGAGCAGGATGCTATGCCTGAGTGAGGCAATTTGGGTTACAGACCTTGGGGAGGGGTGACACTTTGCCTGCAGCAGGGAGAGAGAGCTGAGTACATGGCAGCCACAAAAGAGAACCCCAGAATCATGAAGGATGTTCATTGGCTCTTTGCCTTATAGAGACCGATCAGGACTGCAGTTGTCTGCCCTCCTGAGGTAGGTGTGGCCATGCAGCTGGCTTAGTTCACCTTGTCACGTGTCATTAGACTGTTATAACAAGGAGCTTTGTGACACAGAGGAGGAGATGCCCTTTAAAAATCAGTTCCTGTTCTATTGTATAAAGAAAAGTCTTTGAACAGAAAGGACTCAAATTCCCAATATATTTTAATGCCTGGCCACAAAACAGACCCGGAACTAACATGGAAAACACTACATAGTTCTGGTATGTCATTCTCAATCCACCCGATTATAGATATACTGTTAGGAAAGCCAGACCAAACTCAGCTGTAGTGCCAGAATCTCTTTTTAATGCAAGTATATTGCACAGAATTTATAACGTAGGTAACTAAGTGAAGCATTTAAATTTTTCATGACTTGAAACAATCTACAGGCTGCAGCAGCCTGTTGAAAGTATGGTAATGCATCATGTTATATTCCATCCCTGTAGAGCACCATAAAATTCCAGACAAAGTTAGAGGATGGATAATTTAGACTCCAAGAATCAAGAAATTCTCAGGCATGGAGAAAACAGGTCAGGAATAAGAGAAAGGTAGCAGAGACAGTAACGAGAACTCAGAATGCAGCAAGAACCAGTTTCCTACAAAGAGCCATTGGAAACAGCTCTAAAATGGTTACAAACATACCAGCCACTCTCGCACCTAGTATCCTGACCATCCTCTTAACTCCTTCCTCTACAATGGCTGACTTCAAGATGGTTTTCCATGGTCCATTTTCCAATACAAGTCTTGAGACTTCCTTATGTGATCAATCCTGATGCTGACATTAATGAGAGGAGCCTCAGGTCAGTCTACAAGAATTGTTCCATGCATGAAAAGACTATGTCTGAGACCCTAAAATCCACTATCAAGTTATCTTTATGCCTTGACATTTTTTCATGTCATTGAAAAACACATACAGTGTACGAAACACTTATCCTGGGAGGGCTGGCAGTTACCATGCTAAGATATCCCATCGGGGAGCTCCTTCTCACAGGGGGAAAGCACATGGGTAGTGCCCGCTCTAGCAGCCAGGTTTGGTCACCCTGCTAAAGGCTGGAGAGTAGGAAGGCAAAGGGGAGTAACTGCAAACCCCACAACGTGTCAAAACCTGTTGCACACTCTGTCTTATATAAGATCTCTGTAATTACTCACAATGTGCAAGAATTGAAGTAGGTGACATGCTGGTCCAAGTTCAACTGGTTAGCAAATAGCCTTGTTAGAATCTGTCACCAAGTCCTTTTGGCACCCAAACCAGATGCTTTTCATCAATAAAGCACCAGAGAGAAGGAGCCTTTCACACGTAGGACATTTGTGTTAGACTTTTATAATCTCCAATAGCCCTGACCAGTTTAGCTCAGTGGATAGAGTGTCTGCCTGTGGACTCAGGGATCCCAGGTTCGATTCCGGTCAAGGGCATGTACCATGGTTTCGGGCACATCCCCAGTAGGGGGTGTTGCAGGAGGCAGCTGATAGTTGTTTTTCTCTCATCAATGTTTCTAACTCTCTAGCCATCTCCCTTCCTCTCTATAAAAAATCAACTCTCTCTCTCTCTCTCTCTCTCTCTCTCTCTCTCTCTCTCTCTCTCTCTCTATATATATATATATATATATATATATATATATATATTAGTCAAAAACATTGGATTGATTTCATGTTTTGTCTCTATTAATCCCTACCCTCCCAGCCTTGCTCAGCTCTATGTTCTGAAGACGTTTGTGACTTCCACAACACCATGTTCAAGACCTTCACCTACTTTGTATTTTAGAAACATTTATTAAGTGTTTAGGTCAGACACAGACACGGAGCACTGCAAATGCAGCACTCAACTTATATTTAGGGTAGACAAACTGCAACCCCGCCTCCCACTTCTGCAGCACTCCTCAGCAAAGACAGAGTCATTTTGGAGCCTCATCCCCAAAGTGGAGGTGGCCTATAACAGTCCTGCTGCCCCAGTCCTACTGTATGGGTAAGCCCTAGACCTGTTCTGATGCATGTGACCTTGACATTTGGGCTTCTTTTGCTTGGAGTTCTCAAGCATATTCTCATCTTGTTTCCTTGCTCATAATTATCAGTATTTTTTAATTTGTCTACAGTGAGAAAATTCTATATTTAGAAACAGAAAAAGATACCAAAATGTATTCTGACAAATACTACATTATCATCTAGCACAGTGGTCTGCAAAATCATTAGTCAACAGAGCCAAATATCAACAGTATGATGATTGAAATTTCTTTTCAGAGCCAAATTCTTTAAACTTTAACTTCTTCTAATGCCACTTCTTCAAAATAGACTTGCTCAGGCCGTGTTATTTTGTGGAAGAGCCACATTTAAGGGGCCAAAGAGCTGCATGTGGCTCACAAGCTGCAGTTTGCTGCTAACAGATCTAGCAACAACACTCGTGCCTGGTTGAGCTAGGAGATTTAGAATAATACCTCCTAATTCTCAAA